GAAAGAAGTAGGTAGGTCCCCGTTTTGAAATGAGCCCCACAACGTTCTAACGTTTTTTTTATTTATTTATTTATTTATTTATTTTTTTTTTTTTTTGAAATGTGTTCGCATCTTCGAGCTAAAGCACGATGTAGATCCTGGAGTTGAAAGCTAAATTCCTATTTCAGACATGAAAGATCGCTATTTAACATCGTATTGGGTACTATTTCATTTTTGATATTATTCATTCAGAATTCAAAACAATAAAAAATGTACACTTCTATATAGATTTTAAATTGAAAAAATTTCACGCCAAAAGTTTTTTTTTTATATTTTTATTGGCATGTTTTCCCAAGATTTCATTCCGAAGTTGTATGAATTGCTAAGATCCGTCAAAAAGTTGTTGAGTTATAAGCATTGTAACTAACAAACAAATTGAAAAAAAAAAATCTTCAACTTGTTCGCAGGTTTTTTACAGCGAATTTTTAAAGGTCCTTACGAAGTTTGGTCCTTACTATTATTTTGAAATTTGATTTCATTGAAAAAATGTTCACTATTTTTCCCGATTTTAGAGTTTTTGCAATGCTATAGGCTCTTTTTTTGATTTTTTAGCAATTTTGAACAAAGTAATTATCCTTTAACTTTGGTTTGACCACGTTAAATTATTTTGACATCATCTATTTAGGTCCCCACTCCATAATTGTCGTCGCTTTATACTACCAAAAAAGACCACACATCATATTAGAATTCAATTAAAAAAAAAACAAGTAAAAAAGCTGTAAGTTCGGCCGGGCCGAACTTTTAATACCCTCCACCATTTGGTACAAATTTGGCAATTTCCAAAAAAAAAACCGTTAAAAATTCTGTTAAAATCTTAAAAATACCCAATGCTTATACGACGACGTGGGCCTGCATAGGCAACTTTCGTCATAAATTATTACAATATTTAAATGCGAAACTTGAAGAAAAATCTGTTTATAATGTAGCTAAAATCGTCAAAATACCGAATATGGGGGGTACCGTTATATGGGGGCTATACGAAGACGTGGACCTGCACAGACAATTTTCTGGCATGGGCTGAAGTATCCATTACGAACTTCACATGCGAAATTTGAAACAATCCCTGTAAATAATGTCGCTAAAATCATTAAAATACCGAATATCGGGGGGTACCATTATATGGGGGCTATATGAAGACGTGGACATGCACAGATAATTTTCTGTCTTAGGCCGTAGTATCCATTACGAACTTCAAATACCAAAATTGAAATAATTCCGGTGAATAATGTCGCTAAAATCATCAAAATACCGAATATCGGGAGGTACCGTTATATGGGGGCTATATGATAACTTGGACCTACATGGCCCATTTACGAACTCAACCTGCCTACTGGGAAAATATACATGTGTGCAAAATTTTAGCCTTCTATCTCAATTTGTTCGAAAGATAGCGTGATTACAACAGACAGACAGACAGACACACAGGCAGACAGACGGACATGTTAAATCGTCTTAGAATTTTACGCTGATCAAGAATATATATACTTTGTTGGGTCTGACATGAATATTTCGAGGAGTTACAAACGGAATGACAAAATTAATATACCCTCCATAGCATGGTGGAGGGTATAAAAAACATTACAAATGTACATTCCAAAATAGTAAGTCAAAATGGAAAAAATCGTGCAAAATAAAACAAATTTCACATTTTTACGCGATTTTTTTGAATTTTATCTATTTCTTCCAAGAGACAATTCCGATTTTGTGTGAATCGTTAAAATCAGATAAGCGGATCTTGAGTTATAAGCGTAGCAATTAACACAACTTTATTTGATATATATAGATAGAATAGAAGTTTGAGTGGTCAAGTCCTTAGCCCCCAAATAAATCCCTAGGGTTGGAGGAAAGTTAACAGTATCTAGTGTAATAATTTTCAACCCGATATCTTCATTATCTGGCGAATATAAAGATTTTAGATAAATCAAGATTGTGGGCGTAAAAGTAGGCGCGGTCAATATTTTTTGTTTAAAAACCTAACTCGGGGTATAATGAACGTTTGTACAAAAAATTAAAAATTTTGATTAGAAAATATTTCCAAAAGCATCAAACCAATCAAAATCTTAACGCACTTTTAAATAGCGGCTATGGCAAGTGGGGAAACTTCTTAGGAATATTGTATTAAAGTTCAAAGATTAACCTAAATATTTCGCTTTATTGCGATTTTACGAACGACCGCATACACAGACGGATATAGATTAATTGATTTAGGATTTTACACTGTTAAAAAGTAAATACCTTGCAACATTGTCTTCTAAAAGTTACGAATTCAAAATTACTTTTGATTCGAACATTATTGCTAAGACCTTTATAATACTAATAATTGAGGTTTGAATTAAATACGACGATATAACGAATATAAAACGATACTGGGGAATAAAAAATAAATCATAAAATTTAATTTTCAGAATACTTCAAATCGGCCAAGTTAGAGAACATTTGGTCGAAGAATATTAGGAGATATTATTATATGAATATATCTAATGAGAACAATTATATACATAAATTTGGTAACCTCTATCTTAATTGAAAATGATGAACGGAGAGGCTCACTGACATAATTTAATCGAGAAAGATTTCTACTTTTTAACATACTTTATAGGGTCCCTAACTTTTACAAACCCATGATACTTTATTAATGATAGTTAAATTAAAATCCATAGTAACTTCTTAATTGAAATCCTGAAATTAAGAAGTTACTATGGATTATGAGTTATGAAAATAATCTGTAAAATGCGGAATATACAAAACAGTGGAACCATTTAAAAATTTAGTATGAAAAGAATTCATATCCTCGGAAAGTTCTTCCGAACCCTTTAAAATAACCTTAAATCATAGGCAACGTTATACGGGGACTATGCACTATCGGGTCATGGTGTTGGGAAATTTCTCGGTTGGTAGATAAAAATCCCAAAAGGGGGTTCCCGGGTCAAACTTTTTAGGGTCAATTTTATATTGCTTAACCATACACAAAGGACCTCAAACATTTTGGTCTATACTCCGCAAAAGTTACGATAGAGTTTTGAATTTGATACAGTCCTAAGGGTTTCATGAAGAATCATTTGTAGAAAATATGTATCAAGTCTATCTACATGATATAGCCACTGATATAGCCACTTTCAAAGTCCTCAAATGTTGGTAATTTAAGATTTCAGAAGGAACAACACATTCTTTCAAATAATTATAAGTATAGAACCATTCTTTGGTATAACCCTTATATAAAGGTATCCGCTGATTTCAGCTACTTCCAGGGTCTTGGTCTCATTTTTCAATTGATTTTTCCCGTATTTGGCATATTAGCTTCTAAGGGGATAGAAGACCTTTTCGCGGAAAATTTTCAATGTAAATGTTTCAGAGTAGCGCCCATAAAAAAGTATCTCCTGATTTTACCTACTTCGATTATATTTTCGAACCGATTTGGCTTAAAAGTTAGCTACTTCTAATATGTGCTATATTATTTAGATTTTTAACTCTAAAATTAAAAGCTCTGACTGAAAATTAGTATCAGGTTTTTTGAAACACCATAAATCGCCCGGCACGTGAACCTGTATTGAAATTTTTTGCCATGCGTACTTATTATATTTAGACGAATCGTCATTTGTACTACAAATTGTACACTTATATAAGCATTAAAGACTAAAACTACGGACCGGCAAGGCGGTCTGGGCGTTTATCTAAATAATAAAGTAGCAGCAATTTTCATTTAAGCCTCCTTATATTCGCAAAATCTACAGTATTCCTTCAATAGTCAAAACAAGTAAAAACACATCAATTTCGGATGGGCAAAATATCTGGATTCAAACGTGTTCCACTTTAACCTACAAACTCCAGTAAGATTGGTAGGAGAATGGTTGAAGCCGTTATATTGGGGTCATCTTAAAACGGCAGCCTATATAGACAATTTTATACTACATCGATGGTAATCTACTGCGAGTTTTAAATACCATAATTTTGTGGAAAAATGTGACTAGGATGACTAGGACTAATATTGGCAATGTTTTGACACCGGTTGTAGAACCCATTTGTATTTATAGTTCGTAATGGGTTCTAGCTCGTGTGGCGAAACATTGCATGCATAGGTCAGCGTTTTGGTGTAGCCCCCATATAACGGTACCTGCCGATATTCGATATTTTTATAAAATTGTCTATTAAGGTTCCCGTTTTGGTGTGGCCCCATACAACGTCCCCACTCACTTATTATCCAAACGGTTTTACGGGTATATTAATTTTAAAGTGAAACATCCTTAAATTCAGATATTTTTATATTAAAATGTTTCCTTTAACCTATGGTAGAGGCTATTAAAAGTTTTGCCGGCCAAAATTAATGTATTTTTTTTTTTGTACTTTACTGTTTTTTACTAAAGATTCACAGCACAATTGAAAATAAACAGGCAGCGTTGGTTTCTTGTCTTTATATTGGTCCACATTTATTCTTTATTACATGTTGTGTCAATGGGTTTGATTCTAACCGACATGACGAGACATCAAGCATTCGGTTGGATTTCACGTACTGTTATGCGTTTGTCATAACATGACGAGTGTTCTCTCTCCATGGCTTAAATTGAGAAATACATCGCATTTGCAGTCCTTTATTGTGCAATAACTCTTTCTATTAGGATTCAAAAACCACATGTATTAAAAAATTATACGTCTAAACAAAGCAAAGATGTCTGTCTTATTGCTGAAATTATTTCAATGCATGGATGATAAAAATTTTGTTGGTAAATGTTGATAGGAAGTTTTGCCGGTGGCCTTATGTCACCGTTTAGAAGGCATTTCCATTTCGAGTTTGTCCTTTTAAAGTCAAGTGTGCAATGTACATACATACATATCACAAACTATATTTGGTGACGTAAGAGGAAAGTTATATCTTAACAATATATCAAATGCATTTAGCCTTTGCAAAATACTTACTACAAAAACAATAATGAACACTATAAAAATTAAACAAATGCTGCAAACTATTTATGTTTTTTGTTTGTTTATTTTTTGCAGTTTTCCACTGTCGCACATATAATTTATACAGTTTTTATATGTATAGGTAAATTTACAAACTACATAATATCGAAGACTACGTTTTAGGTGTATGTATAGTATATGAAATTAAGTTAGTTACTTCATCTGATTTATTTATAAATATTTTTTTTTTGTTTTTTTTTTACACTTATCGCACTTAAAGAAAAGTGTTGCTTAAAAATATCACAGCTCAAACTGGCGTCAAAATCTAATTACTTTTAACAGCTTCAGTACTTTGGTAGACCAACATTGTTTCATCCGGTATGAGTGCTGGAACAACTAACCCTGCAGTTATTAAACTAGATGCATAGGGCTGGTCACTCCCATTTGATTCCGTTTCTTTTCTTTTCGCGGCTTGATCAACTACTAAACATGTGTGTATGTATGTCTTACAACTACATTTGATAAATCCTAAAATACAACACATTTATTGCTTAAAACACGTATGGACATGCACAACATCAATATATGTAATTCTACAACATAAATATTTTTTTGCATATTTCTTTAGCTTTTTATTTTGTTTGTTTAATTCCTATTTTTTGTATAATCTATCACTACACACAACATTCACGAATGCAATACCAATCAATCTACTACATGATTGGAACTTGTATTATCTTTAATGATTATCAATTTTTGCTTTTGTTTGGTGTTTATTGCTTCTCTCGTTCTCTCCCTTCTTTGGCCGTTACTGTAGAATTGATTTGTAGGATCCGAATTGCTGCTAAATCTCTTCAATAAATTTTGATAATATATAGTGGTTTTGGGAAAACAGATTTGTTTCTTTTTGCTTAATTTACTAGTGAAATTGGAGCTTAGATAAAAAGAGAGTGAGCGAGAGAAGGAAGAGACTTTTTGTAGATAAATTTAATAATTTATACACAGCAACTACACAATATTCTTCTTTAAATGTATCTATGTATGCTTCTTTGAGAGCGTTTCCTAAATGCGGGGATTGCTTTCAACAGTCATTGTCAAAATATTGCTTATTAGGTTTTCTTTCTTAGAGGATACCCGGCGGTTTATCAATCCAACAGGCGTGCAACGAAAACAAAACAGAAGAAAGAATGCATAACATAACATAAACTCAAAACGAAAAATTTACATTGAATGACTAAAGTCGACAGTGAGCCTGTCATTTCATCTGGCCAACCACACAATGACAAGCGAGATCAAACTGGCCAAAGGTATGCTAAACCAAGTGACGTGTTGCCTGCATGACGCTGACTCCGAACCACTCAGCGCCAGTGTTTCGATAAAGGAGCTGCGGCTGCTGCGCACCGATGCTTCGCTAAGGTGATTAGTCTCCAAGTCGTGCAAAACAGGTAATTCTAGTTGAGGTATCGTCTCAGTGACAAATAGTCGTTTTGGTTTACAACGACGTGGCTCCCGGTACGTTTTGCTAATATTCTTATTGTATCCGATTAAGTGTTCAGATATCTGAAAATAAAAAGAAGGGAAAAGATGGTGCAAAGTGTGAGGCACAAAGAAATCTCGCAGAGTGTTTTCTTCATTGGTAAATATATGGAAGTCGATTTGTAAACTTAAAGTCTGTGAATTTTAAGTGAATGCATTATACGTATTATTGCGTTTAACACACAAAGCAATGCAAATAAAAATACTGAATACATGGAAAACTTACTGGCAAATTTTCATGGTGAGCACCACTACAAATCGGCTTGAACGATCCCAGTAAAGTTGCCTGTTGGAATTTATCAAACTGATGTTCCCAATCGTATGACAACAGGCGAGTCTCTAATGTCATGCCAGCCAATTCAGGAGGAGATGCTATAACAACCGGATTCGATGCCCTAAAAATGAATATAACAGCGAAAAACAATTTAATATGTGAGAAATTAACAACGTACATAGTATGAATCACACAGGTCGGACACAATAGCGGACAACATTGAAAGATGAAAGGGGAACACATTTTCAACAACATATGAGAAAGGAAGAGAAATGAAACAATAAACTTACATAGCCAATTGTTCGATGCCCAGTGAATGTAAGACGGTGGGCAAACTGGGCAGTGAGTGGCAGGTTGTCAGACTTTTCTGCCGAGGATAGTAAAGCGTCAACACCGTACACGATTCCTCTTTCATGGTTAGTCCACCTGAGCAGCGCCAAGAAAATAACGAAAAGAAACAACAAAATAAAATGATGTCAGGATAATGATCGTAATTACTTAAATTGGGCAAACACGTTTAACAACACCTTGTGGCAAATTGTGTTAGACTGCCAGCGAAGAACTAAAGGCCCGACCCAGCAGTCGTATATGTACATTCATTCTAGTGTATGTACTGACTAAAAACTACATGTGTAGCACATATTATGTGTACCATACACTCTCACACAAATACCACAAAGCTGTAATCGGGAAACTGATTGGAGCACCGGCAACTCCAGAACTTACCGAGCGTAATTGCCTTTCGTGACGAACTATCATAAATGCACTCCGCAACCAATCTATCGCCTGGCATGGAGCGCACAGGATGGGAAAGACGTCGAAAGTCTTGATAGCTGGGATCTACGTTGCTATCATGTGCGATGGGAAAGAGTTCCTCGTTCTGTCGTATCTGTAAAATGCCATTAAAAACGGAATATTGTGCTCACATTAGACTTTGCCCAATTAATAATTTAAACGTCAAATCGATTTAAGAACATTAAACCGCCAAACAGCCAACCAAACACATATACGCAACAATATATGCTCATCCAAAACTAGAAATGGATACATACTAGCTTCGTCATTGGCAGGTATTAACAGCTACAATCAAAAACGACAAGGACTGGTGGTAGTTGTGGTTGTATGACTGACTGGCACACTGTATTTGAAAGCCTTGTGAGAGGTCGAAAATTGTCGTATAGCCAATCACATTTACGTACGCAATATTTCGCATTTACCTATACCGATTTTATATGTCTAATTTGAGCGAAAGCTAAATTATGTCAACTTAATCGATTTGACTACTCTTGGTGCATAAATGGAACTGCATGAACCATAAGAAAATATATACGCATTTATATGAAATAGCGCTTCATTTAATGTGCTCTGGTAGCATGTAGTTCCATGTTGATAGTTGATTAAATTTCTCCATTAAACGTAAAGTTTCTCTATCGATTGTGGAGAGAGAATGCCTTACCTGTCGCAACTTGATCTCCCGGCCGATTTGATGGGTGCGCATCATGACGGCAAAAATATTAATACCCTGAGGGGGGAATGCGGATCCTGTACAATCTTCCATACAATGTCCCTGTGAAATTACACGGTCCTGTCCAGGCGGAATGATGTGGCGCCAATTGGGATCCATGCCTATACACACACACACGAGTACAACGAAGTTAACAAAAATACCAATAGTAATTAGGACAGCTCTATTTTGATTGAGCACATGCACACTCGAATGTTTTCCGAAGTGCGGGTGAATTGCGTTTGCGGCTTTACTTACCAACTGAGAGAACACCAGCATCGTGTGGTCGCAGGTCCTGTGTGAATACAATTTTCAGACCAGAACTGTCGGTCATGCGATGCGTTTGGTAAGGCTCGAATTCAGCATTTAGGTTGCTGTAATGTGTTTCCATCAAATAGTATTTGTTATGTTTGGACTCCAGTGGATAACCAGCTTCAGCGGGAAACACAAACCCCTAAAGAGAATGTAAAATAAAAGACAAATCAACAATGACTTTCCGTTGTCTTAAAACAAATTGATGGTCGAGCAGCATACGAAACATACCTCTGACCCCCTTGTCCATGAGGCAACAATGGCATTGCAATTTAAAGATAAACTGTTGGCTCCCATGCACAGTTGACCACCACCACGAGACATTTCTTCCAGCTTAACACTATTGCCCTGACATTCGTATAATGTAATTTGCTGCAAATAGTGATAGCTCCACGAGGAATCAAAAATCGGTTCATACTAAGGATAAATAAAAGAGAAGCGATTTAAAATCATCAATCTAACATTTCTACATCTTAAGTGTTTAACTAGTACCTTTACGATGTGGTATTTCCGATCGAGTTTATCTAACTTGAACATTGTACACCAAAATTGTGAATCATCGCCATATGGTAGCTCCACATCTTGATTGCGCAACTCCAGAATACGGCCTGATGGCTCGTAGTGAGGCAAACCAGAATCAGTTCTTTGTAGCAAAAGTAAGGAACGATAGGGTCTCCAAGCTTCCGCTGGATTCGGAAGGGGTGACAATGCATGCGAACCTATTGCGGGATCCTCATCAAAGTACATAAACATTACCCGCATTGTGTTGTTCTATAAAAGTAATAACGTAAATATTGCAAACTGTTTTGCAACTGTAAAAGGCCTCGGTAATACTTACAGAAATGACAATGTCATGTTTATTATCACAAGTATCGAGCTTTCTGCGAAACCGTAGAACGGTATGAGTGCTATTTTCATATCCTTTCATAAGACTGTAGTCTTGTGAGGGGTCAATTTGGGGCTCGGCAGAACCAACATCAACATAGCGATCCTGCAAATAAATACGTTTGAAATTTATCAACTTGTCTCCCTGCTGTGGCGATGTTTGCTGTCATACCTGGAAAAAAGTGTGACCGTCATTTACCCAGCCGACCGCCATATCGGCACCAATTTGTTTGCCGTCCCTTGAAAACCCGAAACCTACATAACCCAAGGTTCGTACTTGGATTTCAAAAGTTATATCCTGATTAATGATTGTCCAGTAAACGCGAAAATCCTCATTCAAATCAACGGCATGATCCCAATTCATAGCTGTTTCATACTCTAAATTGCTGTACGACGATTGTGGTGATAGTACCGCAGCATCCGCGACGCCAGCACCAGTTTTCATGGCCGTCAATAATACTACAATGAGCCCGATAAAAAAGCTGCACTTGCAGAAAAGTTTGTTAAACGATGCCATCTTTTGATATTCCACTACGGATTGTGATGTTATCGTGAAAAGCGACAAGATGTCCCAATCTTTCCGTAAATTTGTTCGATTGTTGTTTGGTGAGTTATTAATGTAACTATTCTTTCATTTAGATTGCGTGCTGTTTTTTTTTCTACTTCTTTCTGGAGAAGAATTCCATGTGATTCATGTGGGGATGGCTGCGTTACTATTGTTGACGTTATTCTCGCTCCATCTAAACGTCGGCAAGTCTGTTGTGATTATACATTCCCTTTTTCTTCTGTGTCTAGTATGTTCGTGTGAGTTCGTGATTGTGTTAATACAAGAGGCACTAATTACATTTAATGTTGTTTTTTATATTCCTATTTCAACGACCTTAAAGAAATTAACTGTAATCTTAAGACTGGCTGTCTTCCTCCCGCTCTTCCAAAGAGGATTCCTTTTTGCGCTCTCAGCTATTTGTGGACTTATCGTAATGTTCGTTCGTAAATACACCTCTATGCTGCGTATGTTTGTTTCCGTTTATCTTTAGCAAATTCCTTCTGGCTGCTGTTCTTGTCGTTTTCAATTCTATTCTCTTGGAATTTCTATTCTGTTTTGCTCCCCATCTACAAGTGATTATGATTAATGTTAGCACTCCTGCACTGGGTGTTAGGCGTGTTTTTGTGGGAGAGGGGCGTGCTATGATGCTTAGGAATATTCCGAGGGAGATGTGAATGTTGTTTGAATAGTTGAATTTATCTTCACTGCCTGTACTCTTATATCTTGATTCCGTATTTAAGCGGACACAAGTTTATTTTCGCAGATTCTATTTTTATGGAAGCAAATTATAAAGGATTTACAATGTTAAAAATGCGGAAATTGTGTATTTTTAGTCTAGTTTTAACACATAAGGTTAGATGGATACATAAAATGTACTAGGTTATTATATAAAAAGTATTATTATAATAATTACATAAAAAGTAAACATATATAATAAATATTATAAATCAGATTTGTAGTACATCAAATGATTTGAAATAGTAACTTCTTCGGTATGCCATTTCACTTGAGACCGTATTGCGAAATGTATCCAAGTTACTGAAATTTGAGATGAAAACAATTATCTAACCCTGCAAATAAATGTTGTTTTTGTAATGCTTGTACTAATTCTTGACCGCTACTTTGAGTGAGCTCTAGCCGTGTAGAACAAACATATAATTCGCTGCAAAATTCATAGAATAATTGAATATGTATTTTCTCATACTTTACCGCTGTAAACGCTTTGATGGTAAATTGTATGCATTGTTTTACACTCGCTACCTGCCAAAAATAGGCAACTTCTATTGTATGTTTATATTTAACGTGGTGTTATATAAATTAATCTAATGGTATTTTAATGCCACAAACAATGATTGTGTGCATGGGTTACAGATGTGTCTAATAGAACATAACGTATACAGATACATATATTGGACATATGATCTCAATTAAATTAACTGTTCCATAGATGCCGCGCTACAGCCTCAAGTTTTTTTGTTATACTGGTATCTTAAGTGAACATCTTGCCACAAGTAGAGAAAAGAAATCAATTATGAATTTCATACAAAGTTCGTGCTATTGTCATTCGACTTGATGAGGTTAATGTGTATCATCTACTCGTTAAGGCTTATTAGAATAGTCCAAATGTTCAATTGTTTTACTTAAAAAGGAAAAATGTTTACTATTATTTTATTTATTAATTTTTTAGGCCATGATGCTGGTAGCGAAGGGCAAACAAACCTTCATTTACGACAATGCCCTACGTTTTTCATTCTATCTACGATGCATTCCTATTCCTAGTTCAAACTATCCTATTCCATGGAAAAGTTGTGATTTTCGGAAAGAATATTTCCGTGTCTACCATAAGGTGTAATGGCTTATTTAACATAGAAGGCTTGTGTTACTTTTGCACAACGTTTTTCTGTTGAAATATTCGTGAGAATGCCGTGAATCCATTTGGAAATGGGTCTGTCAGAGTACGGATGATGGTGGTGTGAGCGTACACTGCTACCCTCAGTACCGTCAATTAAAGTATTGCATCCCTTGAGCGAGGTTATGTTCCGATATGATTTTCCATTCCGTATTCGATTTGCGTTTGTTTTACTCTTTCATAACTCTTCCACAGGTTCAAAATAACACTCAACGAATACAGACTCTGAATTGTGAACACATGCATACATTGACATCAAGTCTACGACAATGTTTGGGTTACGTGCGTAAATGAAAGTTAGTTATAGAATATACATTTACATGAACATATATACCTATTATATAACGGAAGAAAACTGTAGTTCCTTGGTTAATACAAGTTGTATTTGTATGTATTCGCATACCATGACTAAATTACAGGTACAATAGAATGCATTATTAAAAATCGCTTGCAGAGAAAGTCGGTATCTACCCGACGGCAATATGCAATAGGTTCAGTTTCAAAGTGACTTGTGGACTCCCGCTTCATTTGGTACTACGAAGGCGGATTCGCTTCAAAGTAAATTGCAGGACCTCTTGTGGTCAATTCAGAGCACAATAGCGGTCAAATAAGTCTTTACGAATTAGGTGTATTGGCCAGATTTTCCGTTAATAGTACGTTAGACTGTAAACATTTATTTCTTGAATTTGTTTTTTTTTTTTATATACTACATATTGCTCAATTATGCTGACACGTTTATGTCACTTGTAAAGCTGCATCATATTCTTGTTGTTTGAACTTTTTTTGTGGACAAGTAATAATTATAAATTGTGAACATCTTACGGCGTCGTGCACATTGAAACAGGAATACAACATCCCATCACCTCAGCCGAGTCAGGATAAGAACAAGAACATAAGATAAGAAAAAGAAATATACCCAACAACGTTGACTGTAATAAAAACGATAACAACAACAGCTTCGATACGAGGAAAAAATATATTCGCATGGGAAACTACAATGGGTATGATCCCCTCGTGTAAAATCAAAATGCCACTCAATACACCATCTCCATCTTCAGTGTCGTACTGGCATTTTGTTTTTGCATGTTGTTAGCTCAAACATCACCAGAAAACCTGTATGGAACAACAAAGAACATACATAATGCAATTTGTATATATGTATAGTAAGCAGCATTTATGTATGTGCCAACTTGCAACATTTTGCTTCACATTGTGCGGCTTACCTTGTTTTAATACACACCAGTCCAAACTGTTATGTATATTTACTCACAATCACCTTTTTGCAATCGGTATGATTACATACCTTTACAGTGCTGTACAAATCTATTTACACCATAGTACATTACGTCAACACATCCGACAGTGCAAAACTTACATTTTATAAATTAACCACAAATTGTATTAAAATTTTTACTAAATGTCTCTATAACCCAGATAACAGATTTCCAGAATTGAATTAATTTTGTTTCGCATGAAAGAAGTCATGGCTATTGCATCCAGATCAATTCTTTCGCGTCACCCAATTAAAACAAAAAATATTTCACAAAAACGTTGACGTTAAAAATTTAACATAAAAAAATCAATGTTGTGGGTGGTGAGGATGTTATTAAAATATGAACAAAAAACTTTTTCGCTACTATTGTTTAATGCTATTTAATTTGTCAAGGATATTAAACTATTATTATTATTTAGCCAAACTAGTCAAATGCGTTGGTGCCGGAATATGGAATTTATTATGGTAGATTTTTTATGTCCGCCACTGTAATTGTACTCCTTTAGCAAATAAAATTAAGCAATTTCGAAGAAAGGCATCAATAATTCCATTATTTTTTCAAATTCCATCTTACACAAAAGTGCATAAAAACCTATATACGTTGTGGCATTTTCTATGTATGTCAACTATGTTAAATATTTATAATTGATTTCATTTTGAAGTTCCGAAATGTGAAAAAGCTTTTGAGAATACACACACTCCTATTTATTTTTGTGGTACTCCACCTTAAATATCGTGTATTTGGATATTGTCCGTCCACTTGCTTGTTCATCTGTCTTTCGATCTGTGTCCATAAATGTATAGTTGGTAAGAATTCCATAGCTTTATTGCCTCACAAACGGTATCTCTGCTGCTTGGTTGATTTTTGCCTATTCACTCACTAAGTCAGCCGAGACATCTTTTGACAACAAACACAAAACGTATTTGTATATTTTAAGTAAAAACATTGTCTATATCTACATACACACAAAGGTACATACATAAATTGAAATAAACAACACCGAACATCGTACACAACCATCATTGATGTATGTCTGCTTGAATGTGCATGTAAACTGTATTTTGTTGTTGTTGCGGACGATGATGAAGATGATTTTGTTGATGTTACTGGTGTCGCTGCTTTAATAAAGCAATCAAGAAAACAAATATTTGTATAGCCCACGCGATGTTCAATGAAGGCTGTTGTCTAGCTAATAGGACTGCAAAACGTTCACATACACACAGTACTACGCAATATGCCAACAAAAAAACAATATGTAAAAGTCATGTTGGCTGTTTGGATTGAATAAAATGCTTACAATTGTGAAATTTGCGCAATTGACACAACCCTACGAAAAGTCGCCGTCGTCAACACCGCAGTTTCACAGCCAACGGAAAATGCACCAAAGTTGTTGTCTTTGCCAATCTCCTTTCCATTGCAATCGTGTTACCGATGACTTCCCACTGTACAATTATGCCCCTCCATTGACTTCAACATATGTGTGCATGTATGTATGTTAGTATATTGCGAATGTCTAACTAAGTGCTTCTCCGTCCTCCACATCCGCAAATCATTTACATGGCGAACAATATGTGATTCATAGCTTACAATTGATCGTTAACTCGTAAGCTCTGTGGGTAGGTAACTGGTTGATGTTAGCTGTTTTTCAAATTCCATCATCGTTGGAAGAAGCATCTACATGAAAATGCTTTACCAGTATCGTATATTGTATGTCAGCATTTACCGTATTTAGTGCTTGACTGTTGCCTTCCATCGCTTCTTTTTTAAGTTGGACGGTTTGAATGTAATAGAGTTTCATCTTTTTGAGTCTTGCTTAAATACCAAACGACATTGTAGTAGATGAACTATGCCATTATGCGAACTAACGACTAACGAAATACTTATTACACAGTACATCATCAGTTGAAGCTGTTGCTATCGGCGAAACTGATGCAAGTGTTAGTGTGCAATGCTATGTGCCTTCCTTCATTATAGCTTAGTTATTTCGAAACGAACAGCCAAGTGATCTTTTGATGATACTTTCATTTTCCCACCAGATTAAAAAGTTTGTATATACTGAGAAAAAAATGCAAGGTGACCATGTAACAAAATGGTGACTAGAATCTAATTATTAATGTTGTGGTTCCGATAGGTATAGATTGAGTGGTAATAGGGTCTTATGAACTCCACTTTATTCTTGTGATTGTGAAATTTAGAGGTAATGTTAATTTTTCTCAAAAAAAAAAAAAAAAAAAAAAAAAAAAAAAATCTTACATTCGTTACGCAGGTTTGTAACAGCAAAACATATTTCAACACATCATATTCAAATATCACCTCTGTATTATTCGCTAGAATGCTAAAATTCAAGCCACTGTGGCCACATTGCTAACCATGAACCAGCAATCATGCAATGTATGTTCACAACTATACGGAGGGACAGAATACACCATGCAATTCACAAGGTAAGCAAACAGTCATCTGGCCACTCAACCAGCAGTAAGCACGAAGCAACCGCCAGCAGTCATCTTTAAAGAACTGAGAGTTGAAATGTTTTTTTTTTGCAGTTTTTTATATCGCCATCTGATATTGGTAACGTACCATGCGATGAAGTGAAGCGAAAATATTGGTACTAGATGCTAGTGGCTCGGCACCCAGTGTAATTTTCGTTTAGATTCAAATGGTTACTGGTGAGACGACGATGACTGTGTCGACGGGCATGAGGTGATGCTGTGGTACCTCTTGTTTGGTCGGAAAAGTAGGTTAAATCATTTTCATTTGGAAAAGTAACTCTAACATGAAGATGCGACTTCTCTCAAACTACAAAAGCTCCCTGCGAAGAAGAGTTGAATTATGAAGACGAAAAGCAAAAACAACGCCACAAACTAATTCGAATGCTAAGAGCTATCGACATTTAAAGACTTAAACACTCGCGGCTATGTACGCCAACACCGAAAATAATGAAGACTAGAAACAAGAGTTCGTTATGTATGTCTCTGCCAAAAACGGTTGCCAGCCCATAAACAGTTGATGCTGTGCAAAGAGAAGGGATCTAAAGTGTAATGTTGTGAATGTTAAACGGTGAATATTTATCATGCTTAAGTTGTGGATGCCGACAACAATGATGTGCGCCTTCCAACCCAACCAGGCAGCTTGGTATAGCCAGCCAGCCATCCGAACACTCATTCATTCACCTTTATCCCCCAATGTAAAATGCAAACACGGATCTCAATGAGACGAGATTGTATGAAATCACCCAAAATCGTCTTCTTTACACATACCGAGGGAAGTTAGAAGAATACGTGGATATTATACTAACATTCACCTATACACACATATATATGGTTGCAGATATATTCCTACATAAAATATTGAAAAAAATTGTACAACGCTGGACTTACCCTCATAAAATTTGTTTATTTAATGCCAATGTAAATAATCCATTTAAGTTGTAATGTAATCCACATGCGGCTGAGCTCTTCGAGTGGCGTTAATTCAAAATCGCATAGAACGGAAAAATTACCACCACACTTTGCGTATGCTTTACAATCGTAAACTAATCAATTGCACCAGTGCACAAAGTTCACATATAAAAATATATTTTTAATTTACACCTCTTTATTATGATTTCTATTTTTTTGTTTAATATCAACCAAGTAAATTGGTAATTCAATTCAAATTTTCATAGGAAACCTGCTTATATATTTTTTATGTAGGTACCTATGTTGTTATTTTTTTCTAGATATTATACTTCACGTAATATACGATGTTTGCTTTCATTTAATACTTTTGTCGTTTTTTAACAATATTAAGATACACTGTTTACTCTGAGTTTTAATTAAAAATAATTTTCGTTAATTGTATAAAGCCATAATAATAATGTTAACCAAAATTTTATTGTTATTACTACTTGGTTCGAAGAAACAAAAACGTAAGTTACAAGTTGACGATACGCGCGCTACACCGCTGGCAAATGCACAACTCAATATCCACGAAATGACTGATTTGCTGTGTTCTTGGAACGTACGCTCATCATGTTGTTCCAATTTCACCGTTCCTCATTGAAATCATGCTCTCTCCATTCAACTCTCTCTGCTACATGTGCGCGCTCGCTCTGGTTGCTCACGGCTCTCATGCTCCTGTATCTTACTGTTGTACAAATTTTATCAATGGACATGAAACATTATGGCGGCATTTATGACCTATCATGGAATTGCATTGCATAGCTACACACTGCTGTTAAATTAACATAGAGTACATTGGTACAACATCAGTCACAGCTTTTGGTAGCATAATAACATAACCTTGTTTGTAACCAGTGTGGTGGCAGATTGGTATAGTGGAGACATAGAGTTCTGCACAAGAGAATACAATTTATGCATGCAAACAGGGCTGCCAATTTTGCCGATTTGTCACTCCAAAAAGAGAAAATGTCGGTTTTTGAAATTGCGGTATCTAAACAATCGACATTTTCGCACATTTACCTACAGTTGTAACGATTAAATACTTCGTTAACTTACGAAATCGACGACTTCATTACACAATTGATGATTCATTAATACAATTGGCGGATCTAAGTCGATTTGACAATGTCCGTCCGTCTGTGGAAATACACGGAAGATACAGCCTACATTTTTGCTTAAGAACAGAGGTCGCTCACCAGTGAAATCTCTTTTACTTTTGAAAAATCATCAACAAATCAGTGTTAAAACATTCGTTCGGTCCGACAACCTGCAAATATTCGGTATTTTGATGATTTTAGGTACATTATTCACCGTTTTTTAAGTTTCGAGATTTTAGAAGAAGATTTTAACGGATTTTATTGTTTTGAAAATTGAAATATACGTTCCAAATGGTGGCATTCAAAGTTCAGCCCGGCTGAACCTACAGCTTTTTAGTTGTTTTCATTTGCTTCATTAATAATTTTGAACAACACACGCATTTAATAACAATGGAAACAAAACATTAAAATTAAAACAAAATATTTTTGCCGAACTGTTGTGCTTTTGAGCTGCCACAATTTTAACCACATATTCTATCGGATTTGTTTACAATTTTATATTTATAGATCGTACTATGATTAAAATCATGTGGCAGAACGCCCTTGTAACCCCCATATAATGGTACCGTCCGATATTCGGTATTTCGATTGTTTAATTTAATAAAAGTGTTCTTTACATCATGGGTTTTCTTGTTATTCATACAAAACTGAAAATGAAAATATATATTTATATATATTATTTTTAATTGTATAAATATTCCCAATTTTTCTCTTAAAAAATACGATATTTCAGCCCTACATACATGAACACTGTGGATGTTAAATTCCAGCTTCATATGTTTACCTTTACTTTGGGATCCAACAGAAGCTCGTGAGAATTGAATATTTTCCAAGACATTGCATTGTATTGAAACTTATGCTGTGATGCAAGTTAATTTTACAGTTCATAAACGTAAGGGAAATCTTACGACAGGGGATGCGTCCATATGACAAAATAAACAAGTCTCACTAAGGAAGGCTAGAAATTAAGCGGCGCTGACTTTATGATACCCTACAAGACTTAATTTACTTATATTACCATAAGAAATTCATACACTTGCAGTACGTTTACATATAAATGGGTTGACCCACTGGATTTGGATTAAAATTGTCATATCCATTAACTATACTTCAAATAAATCCTCTTAAAGTCGGTTAACACTGCAAAAGTTCTAACATGGCATTGGTGAAAAAAATAATTACAATTATTTGCCAAAAAAATTAAAAGCAAAAAAATGCAGATAAAAAGGCACGTGCACGTATATATACCTATTCTAAGCCTCAAAAACTGAAAACGGAATTAGAAATCATTATCTTTGTAAGAAAACATTTTAAATACAAAAACCACCAAATAAAATTTGGATCACATGATATTAGCACCATTAAGGATTTGTTCAGATTTTTCAACAGAATTAGCTAGATTTGTGGGGATTTACACTCAGTGCGTCAACTCTATATATGTTTGAACGTAGGAAGAGTTTGGCCCAACTGGGCCAAATGTTTCTCTCCGTATGAGAAGTTAATTTTCTCCCAGGCATACAAATCGTGACCGTAAATAAAAAGAAAGATAAATAAAACCAAGAAGGATTAGTTTTAAATATAAGATTTATTTTACATGTTGTGAGAGGTTGTCAACCCGAGTCGACATATAAAGTTTTTATGCGGTTAGCTCCGTAGCTAGCAAAGTAGTGACAATATACAGTAGTTCCTCAATTTACATAGTGAATTAAGAATTGCTCATACTTACTCCTAACTCCATCTTATGTGTATACACGTGTAAAAAACTTCAAAAATTAAGGTAATTCTCTTTTATTCATAAATCTAAATATATAAAAGAAAGTTCTGTTAGTTACTACACTTATAACTCAAGAGCCGCTGATCTGATTTTACCGATTCAGACAAATTCGGAAATTTCTCTTGGCAGAAAAGGAAAAATCGCGTAAAATTAGAAATTGGAAAATGTTCATTTTGGCTTTTGGAATGTACAAACGACTTACTATTTTCGATTTTTTGGGTAGTATAAAGCGACAAAAGACAAAACTGTTATTTATAGATTTGATATGTTTATTGGGTAAGTGGAACTATACGAATTATATCATTTCAGAAGAGGATAAGATATGAATATGAAAGGGAAATTGCAGGCGGTTTACATTGAAGTGTAGTTCCGAATTATGTGGTGACGAAACTGAATAGATGATGTCGAAATAATTTAACGCGGCCATACTAAACTTAAAGGATAATTACTATTTTAAAATCGCCAAAAAACCAGGAAAAATCATGAGAGACTCAGATATCTCTTTTCAAAAATTCTTCTCTTTTGGAAATCGTGGAAAAAATTAAAAATATTTTTTAAATGAAATCAAATTTCAAAAATTGTATTAGCACACTTCGTAAGGACCTTTAAACATATGCTGTAAAAAATCCGCGAACAAGTTCAAGAATTAATTTTTCTTTTTTCAATTTGATTTTTTTGTCAATCCATACAAATAAAATAAAGTTATATTAGTTATAGTAGCTTATAACTCTAGAACGGCTGGCCTGATTTTGACAAACTACACCGTTTAGGAATAGTATCTTGGAAGAAAAGGATGAAATATAAAGATTCGGGTAAAAATATGCCAATAAAAATGTAAATAACGATACTTTTCCGACATGTATTTTTTTAATCTTTCGTGATTTTTTATATCGCATGTTTTTTTTTTCAATTTGACATGCTATATTGAAGTTTGCAGTTCTTATTGTTTTTTTTTTTTTTTTACTTTAAATTCTAAATGTAAAATGAAGAAAATGGATAAAGTGCACTATACGATCTTTCCTAGCTAGAATTGGCATCTAGCTTTCCAGCCCCAGGAACTACAACGTAGTTTGAACACATTCAAACAAACAAAAATGGCCAACGCAGATGTATCGGTCTTTATTTTATGGCAATAATCCGTCCAATGAGAACTCAAAATACATAATTCATAGGTACTACAATCAGTGGAATACCGAATACAAGGAGGTACTGCGGATAATACAAAATGGTAGAGCGAATTAAAAATTTAGTGAGAAAATGATTTATATTATCTGAATATTTTTCCGAAACCTTCAATATATATACAGGGTGAGATAAAAAACTGCAACAAAGTTAAACGCCAAAATTTTAACCTTTTTTTTTAAATTTTATTGATAAGAGCAAAAAATGTCGGAAATAGCATCAAATTTTAGAATAAGTTTAGATTTGTTCGAATTGGTCACCTTTGGCACGAATTATAGCCTTCAAACGGCTAATTAAACCGTATGTGCTACTCGAATGTCGCTCTGCGGTATATTGGACCATTCTCGATTAATACGAGCGGAGAGCGACAATCGGCTGTTAAGGCGGCCCACACCATCACCATGGCTTACGCTTGAGTTCTGGTGATCCACCGAAGGTGCACATTTTCAGCCGACCTCTTTGGCAAGTAAACACCATAATTTTGTTTGTTCACAAACTGCTGGACAACGAATGTTGCATCATCGGAGAAAACCAAATTCGGAAGACACAATATAATGAACTGTCACTGGAAAATATGTCTTGGTCACATTTTTCAATTCATTTTGCCCTTATTTGGCATTTTAGCTTCTAAGGGGGTAGAATACTCTTCGCGGAAATTTTCAATGTCAATGTTTCGGAGTAGCATCCATATAAGAGTACCTCCTGATTTACATGTTTTGATGGTTATGATTTTATTTTTGAATCGATTTGGCTTATTTCCAAGCGTGGACCTACTTCTTTCAATAATCCGTCCAATGAGAGCTCAAAATGCAAAATTCTTTGGGAGTACAATCAGTAAAATACCAAGTATAAAGGGTGCAAAATAGTGGAGTGGGTGCAAAACTCTTAGTAAGAAAAGGATTTCTATCCTTCCAGAAATTCTTCCCAAACATTCAAGATACCTTAAATCGCTTTTGCAGGTCATGATATCGATCATAACTCACGGATAAGGGCACAACCCGATTTCATATTTATATTACCATCGTATGATTTAAGCTATTATTGGGGTCTTGGACTTTATCTCCAACTTCCAATTTAAATGGCAAATAAAATCAATTCCCATCTTACGGTAATGGATGTAAAATAACTATATTTTTGATTTGACCTCTATTTGTCATATTGGATTATAAGGGGTAGAAGAAAGTTTTCAATGTAGGTCGATGTTTCGGAGTAGTGCCCATATAAAGGTATCTCCTGACTTTACCATATTTCAAAGGATTTGGCTAAAAATGTATATTTGGGGTGGAAATCTTACACAAAAATTTTAACATATCTACAAATTTTAGACTTTTCTATATATAATAGTACCCCCTCAAGTCAACCTTTTGGCGGACAAACAGACCGACATGGTTAGGGGGACTTATGAGGACTCTAATGCACAATCTGAGGTGCTAATGGGTTTGAAAAAGTAATTAACTTTGGCTATTCTTAAAACA